GGATGTCATAGAAGTATCCCCCCTTGTATGACCCACTTAGGCGTTTGCACATTTCTCGGACGATCGCAAAGGCCAGTCAGCCTCGAATGATCATTCGACTGATAGTTTGGCTCTCCCCATCCACAACGTAATATCAATAAGACCCGTAACTGACTTATACCCATAAGTCATCAATAACAAAGTGGGAAATCAGTCCTCAGGCAAACATAACATGGAACTAAACCTGATAAGGCGTCGAGTGCACGTGTCGACGATCTACGATCTGAATAACAAGTTGTTATGAAACTTGAACCACGTTCCGCGTAATCTCGTGCTACTTTTCTATACTCCGGGCCTGCGAGAGCCCGCAACATGTGAACGTCTCGTGCGAATGGAAATGTACTCGAGATAGCGGCTAAGCACAGTCCAAGAAAAAGGGGGAGGGGCCGCCCCACCCCGGGGAGAGTCCACAGGCGTACAGTATGCCCATCCGTCCGTCCATTGCTCTGTGCCCGTAGTCTAGTTTCAATATTTGTCGTAGTGCCCCTACCCCACGGGATCTGAGCAATCAGCTGTGCCACTCGGCACACATTGCGAGTGGAAAATTCTGACCAGATAATCGGAAAATCACCCCGAGCTGTGAAAAGTCGAACAAACAGCCGATATAAAGGCAAGAGCAAGTAGAACTGAGAGCAAGTCATCGTGACCACTTGTAGATTGGCGACAATGTCGCGAAAAGCTAAGAAAATTCGCACATTAAAATGTATACACAAGTAGAGCCGAAAAACGAATAATGATAGAAAAATATAGAGAAGTGGGATAGGAAATATCTTGGGAATGCCCTTCCTAGACTACTGCTAAATAATATATAACAAAGAATATAAGAAGTAAGGAGTATTAGATGTTTTAATGCTACTTAAGATCCACCAGAAGGTCCAAAAAATCTGCAAAGAAGATTTAATTTCTTATAATAAGAAGGAAGTTGAGATAAGCATTAGAAAACATTCCCTTCTTCTTAGTTACTTACTATGTCTTTCCCAGCGTAACTGTACTCCCGCCCACTCGAGAAAATTAGAAACCGAAGCCAAGAGACTTCCCCATGGTCACTTCTCATTGCAAAACTAATCAGAATCGGGGAGCAGTATGCTGTATAATTTCATGGCACTGATATAGAAACTAGAAACGTGAAGGCATCGCGTGAACTTCACGTGATACTTGGCTCGCAGAGCACTGCGCCTTATCAGAAGGCGTGAGTCCAAGTCCAAATAGAACTAATGAGAGTCTAGAATTAGAAACGCAATCGGAACGAGTAGTTGACCCCCAAAACAACGCAATCTGTCGTCGTGGACGGTGGCGGAGTGGTCTGGGTCCGGGGCTTATCGCCCATCCGTCGGGGCCTACGGAAAAGTGATATACTCATGGGTGGCGACGCCGTTTCAATTGGATCCGGGCCTGTCTGAATAGTCTGAAAGCGTTTTATTTTCGGCGTCGAATCAGATTCGCCTGCTTATATGCGGTGCGATGCGCAAACGGCCGGAGAATTAAATGGGCGGAGGAGAATCACGTGCGCGGCTCGCTTATTTTTAGGCACGCCCGAAGTCTCGAAGTATTGTATTAAGTGGGTGAAGTTTGCGCACGCTAATCGCGAGTTGGTTGATCTATAAATAAGATTTGATAATCGTCACTGGGCCCGATATCGGCGCTTGAAATGGACGACCACTGGCAGAATAATTATTTTTGGGATTTTCACCACCATGTGTTTAACCACACAGGTACCTTAATATATTGCATCTTTTATTAGAATTAATGATTGGAGGAAGATTTATATATTTGCTAAATTTAGACAATGACCATTAGGATTAGATACGTATGATTATTAATTATAATTTTTTCCAAGCTGTTTTTCTTTCTTCTTCCGTTAACAGAAATATTTACAAGTTGACCTAGTTTTCTTTGGCACAGATATTGTAACAAAGGGAATTATCATTAGCAAGTTTGTAGCAATTTATATACTCGAAGTACAGTACAGTACATAGTCAAGCCCTGCGTAAGTAACTTGACTTGTTTGTCAAACCTTAAATCCTTAAATCCGACCTACTTGAAACCCATTTGACTTGGGTCGTTTTTGTTTGGGTATTTGGGTAAGTGAGTCAATTTTTACCCAAGCCCAAACGACCCAAACCCAAACGACCCAAGTCAAATGGGTTTTAAGTAGAACAGTTCAGGTTTAAGGTTACCCAAAGAAAAAAATTGATTTTTTAAAAAACTGATTTTTAGAATTCGCGACGGGTCGATGAGCTGTGAAAATTGTCATCATCGTCTTATTTAAAAATCAATTTTTTTTCTTTGGGTAACCTAAAACCTGAACTGGTCTACTTGAAACGACTTGGGTCGTTTGGGTTTGGGTATTTGAGTAAATGGGTAAAATTTTACCCAAACCCAAACGACCCGAAAATGTTGTGGTCGGGTTGGGTAGGTAAATTTTTAAAAGAAAGCCTGACCTACTTGACCTGAAATTTCGTTTGGGTACCCAAATAACCCATTTTGTATACCCATGCAGGGCTTTAGTACATAGTTTGGGGCTAACATTAAAGTTGAGCTTAATAAATATTTATAAAATAAATTAAATGTAATTAAATAAAATAAATTTTTAATTTCACTTTTTACTTTCTCCTTTTCAGTGGGTCACTGTCACCCGGAGGTGGTGCGAGCTGGAGCCCTGCAGATGGCCACCATCTCGACCAATAACCGCTTTCTCCACGACGAGCTGGTCCAATGCGCCCGCACGCTGACCAGCAAAATGCCGGAGCCCTTGTCCGTGTGCTTCTTCGTCAATTCGGGCTCAGAGGCCAATGACCTGGCCCTTCGTCTGGCCCGCAACTTTACAAAGCGCCAGGATGTCATCACTCTCGACCAGTAAGTTTCCATTGTTGCAGTGAATCTTAAGCTAGTTTACTAATCCTCGCTTTCTTTTTCCCAATAGCGCATACCATGGTCACTTGCAGTCGGTGATGGAGGTATCTCCGTACAAGTTCAACCAACCGGGCGGCGAGGCGAAGCCCGACTATGTGCACGTGGCTCCCTGCCCGGACATCTATGGCGGAAAGTTCACGGACAAGATGTATCCGGATGCGGACATGGGTGCCCTGTATGCCCAGCCCATCGAGGAGATCTGCCAGAGGCAGTTGGCCAAGGGCGAGGGCGTGGCCGCCTTCATAGCCGAGAGCCTGCAGAGCTGTGGTGGCCAGATCCTGCCGCCGGCAGGATATTTCCAGGCTGTCTACGAGGCGGTACGCTCCGCCGGCGGTGTTTGCATCGCCGACGAGGTGCAGGTGGGATTCGGACGCGTGGGCAGCCACTACTGGGCCTTCGAGACCCAGAACGTAGTCCCCGACATCGTGTGCGTGGCCAAGCCCATGGGCAATGGGCATCCGGTGGGTGCGGTGGTCACCACGCCCGAAATCGCCAAGGCCTTCCACGCCACCGGAGTGGCCTACTTCAACACCTACGGAGGCAATCCGGTGTCCTGTGCGATCGCCAATGCGGTGATGCGGGTGATCGACCAGGAGGGCCTGCAGCAGAATGCCCTCGTCCTGGGCGATTATCTGCTGGAGGAGTGCAACCGGCTGAAGCAGGACTTTGAGTGCATCGGCGATGTCCGTGGCGCCGGACTCTTCGTTGGCATTGAGTTGGTCCAGGAGCGGGCAGAGCGCATTCCGGACAAGAAGGCTGCCCACTGGGTGGTCAACCGGATGAAGCAGTTGCACCGCGTGCTGGTCTCCTCCGACGGTCCCAACGACAACGTGATCAAGCTAAAGCCGCCCATGTGCTTCAGTCGGGAGAACGCCGACGAGTTCCTCCTGGCCTTCCGGGAGTGCCTGACCGCCGTGATGCAGGATCGACTGGCGAGTGCCGCTTCCGCCGCGATGGCCGCCACCAGCGGCGTCATCGCCACCGCCGCCGAGACGCTGGCCAACAAGACGAAGCTCTTCGAGCGGCAGGATCGCCCCATCAAGTCCGTCTGAGGCAGTGCCTGCTGGCTGGCCAATGCCACCACCACCACCAACGCCTCTCCGCCCGGGCACAAAATAGCTTTAGCCACCAAGGATATTTAAATTATTCCATGATCCCCATTGACCCCTATTCCAAGTTATCTCCAAAATTTTAATTTGATTGGACTAGTGTCAATATTTTCATTTAATTAGCTGTAGTGCCATTTACCCGTAATCTACATTTATATTTTTACGCTGTATAACCATTATTCTGTTCGTCAATTATCTTCTAGTATCTAGAAAAGTAGGCAGCCCAACACGAATTTCTTCCATTGTTATATGTAAATATAAAGTTTTGATCATAAGAAGTATAATATGTTAAAAAAAATGTTATTAAAATGTTACGTATATTTTGTACATTTTTGAAGTTTTAATTTCGTTAGTTAATTTAATAAATTTGCTTGCGGTGTAGGTGCTCGTAGCGTAAAAAGGTCCAGGGAAGCCTTATAGTCCCGTAACTATATATTGTTGATGGGGACTCTTAGCCTAGTGAAATCTAACCAGAACTCTAGCAACCCAAATCTACACATAGAGAAAAATGTAAGTGCAAGTGTTCTTCAATCGAGAACATTCGTCCTTAAAAGTTCAATCCTTGAGTTCAATCTAAGGACAAAACGGTGAGAAGGGAAAAGTTTAATTGAGTTTATTGACAATTGTTTGAGAAATTTTAAATGACTGATTTGACTAATTATTTACTTATTGAGGTCAACAATGTAAATACCGCTGATTTAACTTGATTCAAGCTCATTAAAACAACATTAACTTATAAAATTTTGTTGTACTGTTAAGAACCTTTTCAACTCAAATGAATTCTTTCTGTGTAGAACATTTATATTTATTATACCTACATACTTTCTTATACAATAAGTATATAAATGATACTCCTGAGTGTATGCAACCCTTTTTGATGCTGTTAGCGAGATGCTAAACAAATTTTCTACAATCATTTAAAAGTAAAAAACAGATAAATTTGCTTAAATTTTTTTATTTTAAATGCTCGATTTGCTTAAATCTAATTAAATAACTTTCCAAGGCAACCAAATATTGATTAGTGCCGATGGTTGCCGAGTAAATTCAGAAGCGGAGACTGCACATCCGGCTGCATTCGCACATCGATCGGAGGGTCTGAGAGTTCCGAGCACGGCGAGCATCCGCAGTTGGAAGGCACCTCGTGCTGGAATAGAAATATATAAGTATTTATGGTCCGACTTAAAGACAGGCCTCTCTCCACAAACCTTCTGGGTAAACGTGTGGCCATCCTCGCAAGTCATTTTTACTGAGATCGGACGATAGGACTTGATGCTGCAGCAGGTGCAATACTTTTCGTGCATGTCGGTGAGTGTATTGTACTTGGAACCCGAGGAGCAGGCACCCTCGCAGTCGGTGAAGCCTTGAATAGGTTCGGCATTGACACAGGATCCGTGTCCTTGCACGGGGAACTTGAGAATCTCCTTCGTTAGCGAGTCGGCCAGCGAAACAGGCAAGCAAGTTGCTGCAAAAAATAACACTTCGAGTTAAACTGAGCTGGAGTATTCGAAATCTGCTTACATTTGTCCTCCGTCAGTGGCTCAGACTTGCATCGCTGACAGCAGCCATCTTGGTACAGTAGGTGCGAAAGGCAGCTGCCCACATCCGGGCAAACCTCAACGGAGGTGGTAACCAAAAACTGATCATCCTTCTGCAGGCAACTATAGGTAGTGCAATTGTCGGCCGACTTCCAGTGGGCATTGTTTTCGTATAGCTTCTGCTCAAAGATGCAGGAAGTCTGGACACACTTGCCGCAACATTTGGTTTTGTCCAAGTGCCGATAGCTGAATCCAGGGGCACAGTCTGTGATGCACTGTTCCAAGGTGCTGACCACCTGGGCATTGCCATCTGGACCGTAGGAACATGTCTCCTGCTTGCAAACATCCTTGGCATGCGTCCACTTCTCGCCCACCGGCTTGGTGAACTTTGTGGACTCGTCGAGCTCGTATTGAACAATGCACAGGTCCTTGGGTGGTACTGAAAATAATTTGGGTATATGATTTTAAGGGGAAACTGTTCCGACGGAGATCCTCTTCTTACCACATGCGTGTTTGGGGCAACACATTCCGCCCTCCTTGGTGGTCTTGACCTCATAGAATCGCTCCTGACAGTTGGCCGGTGCCTGGGGACACAACTGCGGCCTGCACTCGATGCTCTGAGTGGGGCAGCATCCCTCTTCAACCTTTACAATTGCCTCGCCCGGCAGCAATTCCCGAAGCTTGACAATCTCACACTTGTCCTTGGGTATACACTCTGCAAGAGATTGGGATTAATTTATGAACTTATAGTTTAGGTTTAGGTTTTACCGCAAATATACTGGGGACAGCCGTTGACGTCCATCTTCTGTTTCTTAAACTGTCCGGGACCACAGATGGGCATCAGCGGGGCCAGGCACATCTTGGCCGGGTCCTTGGTCTCCGGGACACAGCGATATCGGGGGCAGCACTCCTCCACGCGGACCAGGGTCTCCGGCTTGTAGCCCTCGGCACAGATATTCTCCTCCACCTGGCACTTCCTTTCCACGCAGGACGTCTTGCCACCCTGATCGCACTGGCACTCGGTGCACTTATCCTTCTGCCACTTGTCGCCAGGCAAATGCAGTCCATCATCGCACTTTGTACAGGCTATTTCGGGCACACACTTGCCGCCATCCATTACCTTTCCGGCGGGACAGAAACAGCCCTCGAAACGCTCCGAACTCAGGCACATTTCATCACTCTTCACGGTGTGAATTACGGCCTGGTTCTTGAGGCTCACTGCATCGAATTCGGACAGGGCCTTGATGGTATCACAGTTCTTGGCGCAGCCACACGGCTCGTAGACCATTTCGCTGGGGCATTCATAGGGACAGAGCTGTGGTCGCCTCCAATTGGTGCATATTCCGTGCTGGTTGCACTCCTTGGCATAGGCGGCCAAGGCCACGCACACTCCTTGCTGGGTATTCCCCGGCTTGCAGATGTCCTGCTGGCAGGCGGAGACATAGGAAATGGGATCCACGGCCAGGGGACACTTGCCGAACAACTCGGCATTGTAGAACTGCAGACAGGGATCCTTATCGGGCGGCAGCGGAAGGCACTGCTCCTTGGGCACATCCTCGCTGAGGCACTCTTCCACCAGACCCAACTTGGGTTCATCCGCCTGCCAACTCTGGATCACATCCACTCCGGCCTTCTTCTTTGCCGGATTCGCCTGAAGATCGTTGGCGGCGTTGCCATTACAGTCGCCACAGAGTCCCTCCATCTTGCTGCCATACTTGATACTCGGTACGCCCAGCGAGAAGATCAGGTCTTCGAAGGAGGCCGTCAGCTCCACATGGGAGTCGGGAAGGGAGAGCACCAGCTCCTTGCCCACCACCTGTCGCAGGCTAATCCAAGTGTCCTTGTACGGAATTTGCTTAACCTCGAATCCGTCGACCAGGACCTGCAGGGACTTCGGTTTCTGCGGGACGCGCTGAACGTGAATCACATGGTCGCCGTTGAGGATGTGCAGGGATTTGGCGCAGCTGCCGCCCTCCACTGGCGTCGGCTGTCCCAGCTTCTTGCAGTCATCCATGCTGGCATAAACCTGGAAGGTGTGGACTCCGGGCAGAACGACATCACGCGACAGAAGGTATGTGCAGTTTCCATTAAAGCTGAAGCTCTTGCGATCGTAGGTCATGTACTTGGATCCGCCCAAGGCATTGCACACACAATCCTTGCACTCGGAAATGGGCACACAATTGGCTCCCTTTCGTACAGTTCCCTCCGGGCAATAGCAGCCGGGGAAGCAGGAATCCGGAAGCACAGGACAGTCGTCGCCATGGACATTGTCGCAGGATGGCTCACAGCGGCGCTTGTAGCAGTCTGTGTGAACCAACGGCGACGGACACTTGATCTCGCACTGGGTGATGGCCCTCCATGTGGTCAGCTGGACCAGTGGGTTTACGCTGAGGCACTTCTTCACAAAGCTCTCCAGAATGTTGCACTTGCAGGCGGCCGGGTCCCCATTGTTGGCCATCATGCAATTGCAGGCAGCCTCTAGGCAGTAATTGGTTTGGAACTGCTTGTAATTGACGGCCTTGTGGCAGCGAGCAAAGGTTGGGTGGCTGTGGAGAAGAGCCAAATTTGAAATAAAAACTCAGAAGTGACCTTTCTATTAGTATAATTGATATATCCAACATTTAAGAGGTATTAATAACAGGGACCGTAATCATTATGAGTTTTATTTTAAAACTCACTCAATAATCATTATTTGTGAGCAAAACAAATAAAACTCAAAAATAATCATTACTTTTGAGTTTTAAAATAAAAATCAAAAATAATCATTATTTCTGATCAGAAAAAATAAAACTCAAAAATAATGACTATTGTTGATTTTTATTTTTTTCGCTCAGAAATAAAACTCACTTGGACGCCACGGCTTTGCTGTGCCGATTTTCGGCGTTTTTTTTGCATTGTCCTATGTAGCGAATGCAGACGTACCACCTCTGAAAAAAAAAATTGAACTTGGCTTCTGCATCCCGTTAAATGGTATCATTCTTATAGTCAGTAAAGGAGATACTTCTAGCCTTGTTTATGTTTATGATGTCTTATGTTGTTTATGTATTAAGACATGGATTTCAGTCTAAATGCTCTTTTCCTTCTCATTCTACAAGAACTACTTAAGGCCGCGAGTTCTTCAACACAACCTGGAACCACATTTACCAAAATACTACTACTTTTTCATATCTTCAGTAGTCCACTAATCTAGGTATAGAAAGTATCCACACAATCAGCTCCTCTTCTTCTTAAGAATTCGCGGTTTTTGAAGAGTTGATTAAAATTTCAAACGATATATAAGAAAAATGTCCTTGGAGAAAGTATCTTCTTCTTCTTAAGAATGCGCGGTTTTTGATGAATCTATTAAAATATCAAACAAACTATATGAAAAAGGTCCTTGGAGAAAGTATCTTCTTCTTAAGAATTCGCGGTTTTTGAAGAATCGATTAAAATGTGAAACGAACTATAAAAAAAGGTCCTTAGAGAAAGCATCCACTTCTTCTTAAGAATTCGCGGTTTTTGAAGAATCGATCAAAATGTCAAACGTATAAGCCTGGATACAGACATAATGAAGTTTTGGGAAGAAAATAAGCTGCGCTACCCAATTCTATATCAACTGGCCACAGTCGTACACGCTGTACCTGCAACGCAAGTTAGTGTTGAGAGATCGTTTTCAGCACTGAAAATGATGCTGACGGACAATAGGTGCAACATAAAAAGCTCGTCCTTGGCCATGCTTCTTTTTGTCTAATTAAATAAAAATTAACTAAAATATTTAAATAATAATACTATTTAAAATAAAATAACACGATATAATTGTTTTAATATTATTACCAATTTTGTCTTTCTTGGGTGGAAAGTTGTGCTGATTACTTAATTCCTGAATAAAAACGTATCTGAAATCGATTTTTTAAAGAACCGCGAATTCTTAAGAACAACTTATACTGCAGACTTTGTTAACCAATTTCTACTTACCTAAAACCCTTTTCTATACATGGTTTGATATTTAAATTAGTTTTGCAAAAGCCGCGAATTCTTGAGAAGAAGAGGATAAGCTGTTCTTAAGAATAAGGGACAATGCTTCTTTAGATTTTAGAGATTTCAAACAGCGGTGGCACTTTGTTAAATGTTGCTCCAGTATGTATTGTCGAGCTGGCGGCCTTCATTGGTTAATTATTTCGTGTAGAGTAAGAGAGAAAGACAAGTGCATTTCGACTGCAATCCATGGTTAAATACATAAACATAATGTTTGTTTAAATACATTAACATAAACAAAGGCTAGAAGTATCTCCTTTACTGACTATAAGAATGATACCATTTAACGGGATGCAGAAGCCAAGTTCAATTTTTTTTTCAGAGGTGGTACGTCTGCATTCGCTACATAGGACTATGCAAAAAAAACGCCGAAAATCGGCACAGAAAAGCCGTGGCGTCCAAGTGAGTTTTATTTCTGAGCGAAAAAAATAAAAATCAACAATAATCATTATTTTTGAGTTTTATTTTTTCTGATCAGAAATAATGATTATTTTTGATTTTTATTTTAAAACTCAAAAATAATGATTATTTTTGAAGAATATTATAAAAATCCCAAAAATAAAAATCATGGCGATAATGAATAGATTAAGCAATGAGGATCACTATGGTGTATTCCTTTTTTGCGTATGTCGATCCTAAGTGCCTGATTTTTTGGTTCAAAAAATAGGTCAATAATCATTATTTACGGTCCCTGATTAATAACTTAAAAAACTTCTGAAGAAACCGTTAATTCTTCAGAGGATGATGTCTTTGCTAACTCGTGGAAAATTGGATAAATATCCAGAATTTAAAAAGCTAAAAAAAACCGCGAATTCTTTAGAGGATAATGGCTTTGCCAGTTGTACTTCAATAAATGCATTACACTAGTTTACAAAATAATATTCTTGGTGTGCTCCCCAGCAATTGATGGCAAATTCTGTTAGTGCTGGACCCCTAGATCACAAAAATAGCACTTATTTTTTTTTCGATGGCACAGTTTTTTTTTTAAAGATTTTTTAAAGTTTGAAATGTTAAATTTCGGACTTTTTTCGAATTTCTTCTTATATCTCGGCAGATATCCACTCGGTTGGGCCAGTTTTAGTTTTATTTTAAAGTCAATAGATCAGAGCTTAACTTTGCCATACAGATCAATACGATTGGATGAGTAATGGCAGCGCAGAAGCTCGACAAAGATGAAAAATGTGTTTTTTGGTCGTCTGTAAGTCGGCTGTATATATCGTAAAAACTCGAAATAAATCCGTTGAAAAATCATAATGGGTACAAACTTAAAGATTACATCCTACCGAATAAAACAAGCCGGATATGGCTCAAATCCATGGAAAACTGGATTTATGGTGGATTTTTAAAGTTCGGATTTTCCCACTTTTTTCGGTTGACAAAGTCCAAATTTAAGATTTAGCCGGGTCACTAAATAGCTAAATCAGATATTTAAAAGCTGGAAAATTATTAAAGTGAATTTAATTTTTTAATTAAGGTTACTTTTTTCATAAGAATGAACTATCCAAATGGATAGTACTTAGTTAAAATTACTCACAATCATAACGCAAGCAATTTTATATTTTTAAAGGAATTTTCAGAAATTAAATTTATTTTATAATTTTCTAGCTTTTAAATTTAGCTATTTTTTGACCCGGCTGCCGTCACCACTCATTTTTGTTTACATGTCGCCGCCTATGATAAATCTTAAATTTAGACTCTGTCAACCGAAAAAAGTGGAAAGTGGAAGTGGAAAGCCATATCCAGCTTGTTCTATTTGGTAGGATGTACACTTTAAGTTTGTACCCATTATGATTTTGCAACGGATTTATTTCGAGTTTTTACGATATATACAGCCGACTTACAGACGACCAAAAAACACATTTTTCATCTTTGTCAAGCTTCTGCGCTGCCATTACTCATCCAATCGTATTGATCTGTATGGCAAAGTTAAGCTCTGATCTATTGACTTTATAATAAAACTAAAACTGGCCCAACGGAGTGGATATCTGCCGAGATATAAGAAAAAATTCGAAAAAAGTCCGAAATTTAACATTTCAAACTTTAAAAAATCTTTAAAAAAAAAACTGTGCCATCGAAAAAAAATTTAGTGCTATTTTCGTGATCTAGGGGTCCAAATCTAACAGAATTTGCCATCAATTGCTGGGGAGCATTTCGGCTGTAAACTAGTGTTACTAAAGGTGTTTAATGAAATTAAATAAAAAACCGCGAATTCTTCAGAGGATTATGGCCGTGCCCATGTCTACTCATATAACAGCTAATGTCAGAGTTTTTTAGAGTTTTTATACCCTTGTAGAGGGTATTATAATTTCAGTCAGATGTTTGCAACGCAGTGAAGGAGACGTTTCCGACCACATAAAGTATATATATTCTTGATCAGCACCAATAGCCGAGTCTATCTAGCCATGTCCGTCTGTCCGTTTCTATGCGAACTAGTCTCTCAGTTTTAAAGCTATCGCGATGAAACTTTCCCGAAAGTCTTCTTTCTATTGCAGGTAGTACATATGTCGGAGCGAGCCGGATCGGGCCACTATATCTTAAGGCTCCCATAGGAGTATTCAAACAAATATAAGAAAATTCATTGTAACTTTGTAGGAAGTAGGCGTTTTAATTCTTGACTACTTAAAAACAAAATTCAAAAATAGAAACGCTGAATCTGGAATCCCTGGAACTGCACCGAGTGAGCATTACTTTATCTGCAAGGGTATATAAGCTTCGGCTGGCCGAAGGTAGCTTCCTTTCTTGTTTTTTGTGAGTTTTATAAATAAGTATCCCATATAACGATCATTTGAGATTTGAAAATTAAAAGTGTAAAAAATGTTTTGGCATAAAAATCTCAAATAAAGATTAATTGTGAGTTTTTTCCATAGAACTCATAATCGCTACGGTCCCTGCTTACTAATACTTACTTGATGATATTGCATAGCTGCAACGCCTTCGCCTGCATTTCCCTCGTGCACTTTAGGTCTCCGCACTGATCCTTGGGAATCCGTTTGTCGTACCAACTGTCCCCGAACTTCTCCGTATTCGCAATAATCTGTCCATCCGGCGATCTCTTGTCATCCCTCGGATTTCCGTTGTAGTAACCGCACAGGCCGTCGACGGTGCGAATAAATTTGGACGAGATGCCCACCTTGACGATACCGATGTCATCGAGCTGCACCCAGAAACCGTATTTAGTGGACACGGCCAGCAGGGTCTTGCCCGGCTGAGAAACCACGAAGGAAGCCTTGCAGATCGGTGAGTTTATCAACTGCTGGACTGTGAACTCGAAGCCATTGAACTTGAGCTTTAGGTGGGGCAGAAGGATCAACTCGTTGCCCGCCTCTGTGTCCTGGATGGTGATCACCTTGTGGCAAACTTTGCGGGTCTCGTCGCTGCATTGTTGATGTACTAACAAAAAAGATCAAACATATACCATCTGTAGTTAATTAAATGTAACATTTCGTACCCGATATGGACCAGCTGCCCTTGTGAATATCTCTGGCCAGGATGTGGCTGCAGGGTCCGTACTTGAAGACCGTGCCGTCGAAGGTGGTGAAGCTCTTGCCGCTAATCTCACACACGTCGTCCTTATTTGGCCGAAGGACGCAGGTGTATCGCAAGCAGTCGCCCACCTTGGCCGCACTCATGTCCAGCTCCACGTCGTATTTCTCCGGACACTTGGGCTCCGAGCATGTGACAGTCTCGTTTTTATCCACCTGCTTGCTGGGAATGGGCACACAGGTAAACTCGTCGCACTGCTCCTCCTGATGAAAGTCCAATTCCTGGCTGGGCATGGCCAGAATTTGTTCCTTGGACGAGATGAACTTGGTCTTGGTGATGGTCGTTCCGTCGTCCACAATCGACACCTGCTTCGAGAAGGTGAACATCTTGGACATCTTTCTAGACTTTTTCTCCGTTATTCTGATCTTCATCTGAGGCGGGCAAACGGGCACGGGACATGTTATGACTTCAGCTGGAAACATATATTGTATTAATATATTTTACCCATTAACTTTTGGTACCCAACTCACTCTCATTCTTTTCCCGTTTGATGTCGGGCTCCACAGTAAAGGAGTCACTGCAGCTGGAGTCCTCGTCATCGGCACAGTCCTGAACTCCGTTGCACCAGAGCACCTCGGGTATGCAATCTCCACTGGACGGGCACAGTCTTTGGTGTTTGGGACAGGACTCGCACTTGCAGAAACAGTCGCTGGTTATGACGGGCCGCAACTTGGCATCCTGGCAGGGCGGGCACTTCTTGGGCTTACAATTCTTGTGGCCACCGAGTACACAGACGCAATCCTCGCAAGCCGAGTTCTCAAACTTGCTTCCGATAGGATAGCTAACGTAGTTCTCAATGCAGGGACAGAGATTGTGCTGAACACAGGCACTGCCATCCCAGAAGAGTTGATCCTGGCACTGGCATCCGGTGGTCGAACTGGTGGACACACCATCACAGATATTGCACTTTGTGGGCTTGCTCTCCTCCACGGGCACTTGCCGTTGGACCTCAGCTGTTGGGGGTGTTAAGAAGGATACACAATTGATATCTGATGTTAGTTAACAAAAAACTTACGATATGGCGAGAAGCATCCCAGGGGTTCAATGCGCATATTGATATTCCTCTCCCAGTAAGCCGGCACAACCTTTATAAACTGCGTTAATATGGGCTTCTTGAAGTGATGTCTGCGCTCAGATTCAGCATCGATGTTTGCCTCGAAGATGCGTGGCTGTCCGTTAGTCGAGAGCACTGTGTTCCAGGTGGGCTTCTTCTTCGAGAACATCACCTTGTAGCCCTTGACCCATCCATCCGGACCACCCTTGGTCACAAATCCAGAAATATTTCGTGGCTCCAGGAAATCAAACTCAATGAACTCATTTTGGCTATTGGCCAGAGGACGCCAAGCCAATGGGGTTGACAATTTCAGCAGTTCCAGCAGGGGTTTCTTTCCATTGTTGGGCTGTTGCCACAAACTGCTCGATTGAACCTGGTCCTGATGCATCTTACCCTCATCTACGCCCATAAGATCGATGCATTCCAGATCTACCAATTGGGCTGGGCGCTCTGTTATGGGTGGAAGGGTTGGAAGTGTGGGTGGCACTGGCGTGGGCTCCACCTTATCTCCGCAGATCAGCAGTTCCACACGCATGGCGATGGAGCCGTGCCATTTAAGAGGATATATGCGAAGGGAGCTCGCTTCGATGGGAATCTTGAAGAGAGTCTGCACTGGAGCCCGCGAATCCAGGGGTCCATTGAACATCTGAGGCTTTTCTGTTTCGTCCACGAGATAGTGATAGGCGATTCCATCATGGCTGTGAAGGATCTGCAATGGAAGCAATGGAAAATAAGATTTCATTTGTATTGTAGACAAGGACTCACCTTAAAGAGGGTAACATAGTTGTCGAAATCAGGGCTGCCAGCCATAACCACACCGTAGAAGGGCTCCGGCTTTCCAAAGTTAAGTTCCAGATATTGCATCTGATCGTTGATGTTGGGGGACCAACTGCCCTTCGGATGGTCCTTGGTCAGTCGAGCCATTTTCGGTCCATGCTCGGGCGCCAATTGGGAGCTGGCATTGAAAATGCTGTCGGGCTCTGAATGTACCTCGTTCTCTATCTTGTAAATGAGTCTAAAAAGGCAAATATCTTAGTTGTGATTGAACATAATATAGGATTAGGAACAGGCGTTTCTTACCGTTCTGGGGAGCATTGCAGAGGTGGCGTGAGGGTAACAGGGAAAATAGGAACCAGAGGTACCAACACCAATTCACCATCTGAAATAGAGGATTATATAAATGATATGGTCCGTGACTTAACATGACAGATACCAACCTCCTCCCTTGGGAACGGGCTCTTGCTTATTGGGCACACAGGTATAGGAATTGTCGATGCACTGGCATACTTCAAACTCTCCCAACACTGGTTTGTGTGGCTGAACGTAGTGCTCGGCCTTGTCCATGCAAGGACATTCATCGGCATGAACACAGGTGTCCTCATCGCGCCAAAACTTTCCAAGCTTGGGGCAATCCGGTCGCAGTTCGTCCACACAGCCCGGCTTGCAGTGCTCGCCGATCTGGCAGAGACCTCGCTTCCTCAAGATGCTGCCATAGTAATGGCAGGTATGCTCACATTGATTGGCACAATCCGACTTTATTTTGCCGGGCGGACATTGCTTAATGGGTTCCGGTTCGGGTTGAGGCTTGGGCTTTACACCACAGGTGGGCTTTATCTCCGTGACGGTGGCTATGTGATCGCAAATGAACATGGTGGGGTTGAACATCATGTACTCGCCGCAGGTCTGTTCCACATAGATCCAACCACCCTCCACTCCCTTGGGCTGGCAGTGCAAGAACTTGTGGCAATCCCCAGGGAACTCCTTGTACTCCACAACACCCGCATCGCAGGCCAGGCCGAGTTGCGGCTTTTCAGTGGGCTTGGGCTCATCGGGCACTTGCTCCTCGTCGCACTGGCAGAAGGCACGCAGCTCATAGTCGTGGCACTTTCCGATGCACCTTAAACCCTCCTCCAGATTGCAAATCACATTCTCGTCCATTTGTTCCGGCGCCTCGTGGGTCTCCTTCACCCTGCACTCCACCTTGGTCATATATTGCTTCAGGCACGTCCCGTAGACATCCTCCATTCGATCGTAACGCGGAACCTTCTCCTCATCATTCAGACGCACACTCTTGTCGGAGGTATCGCGATCCTTGTCGCACCATCGAGTCCATCCCTTGACGCACTTGGTCTGATTTTGGGTAGCCAAAGGAGTTGGTGCTGTGGTGCCCTCGATAAGGGGAGCCGGATGGGCGGTAGTCAGAGGAACGGTGCATTTAACACCGCTGCAAATCTCCTTGCGCTTGGAGCAGCGGCAGGTGGCACACGAGTCCGTAAAAGTGACGTCGCCCTCGTAGAATGTCTTGCCCTCCCTCACCATACAAACGGGCTTGCAGTCGGCCTTTGGAACACAATCACGGTACGTGTCGTTGAGGTAGATGAATCCATCCTCACACGGCTTGATGTGGCATCCCTCCAGGCAGTTCTCCCGGTTGCACATGCGCTCCGCGATTCCCTGATCCAGGAAATTGTCACAGGTCTCCACGGCACAGGCCGGAGTGCAGGCCTTGTAATCGGAGCAGTGGGGATCACATTGCATGGCTGAATTTAAAAGATATCAATTGTTTAGATGGACCGAGTCAAATAAAGATAAATACATTTTAGAGCACTTAAAAAAGAAGTCAAAACAGTCAGTTTTTTCAGTTTTTAAAAAAGTTGGAAATCTGTTCAATTTATATTTTATTTTTGGTCAAAATAAAGCTCATTATTAAACCATCCCTTTATGGTTTATGGCGCCACCATCTTTAAAGATTTCGGTCAATGTTGTAGTGCATATTAATACCTATCGAAATGTAGAAGTAATATTTCAAATCGAAACATTCATTAAAATTCAAGCAGTCGCTTTGCAAAAATGCTTTGCATGCATATCTATCTCTCCCTCGCACTTTCCTTAGCTGAGGGACTCGATTAAAAATAAAAGTAATAAAAGTTTTTTTATCAATATGAAGACGGAAGAATACACGTGGGTTTAAGTATTTACGTAATCTGGATAATCTGGATTTGTCTAGGATAAATACTCATTATATGAAATCGGCTAATAGGCTTCATTTACTTAAATAATAATATAATGTTTGTCTTGACATTCAATCTCTACTCACGGCAAAAATGCTGGGACCTCCAGCGAATGTTGATACCCTTCTGGGCACAGGCATCCGCATAGGCAGCCATGGCGGTGCACAGGCACTCGCAGTCGCCGCCCTGATCGCAGGCACAGGTGTCGAAGATGCAGCGCTTCCAGAAGCGCTCCAGGGGAACCTCGGCATGGCACTCCTTGAACAGATCCGACTTCAGGGCCCCGCACTTCAGTTGGGCCCAGGTTTCGCGCTCCGGATGCTGTTTGCAGGCGTCGATGGGCGCCACCGGAGCCGAGCAGTGGGGCTGCAATTTCCAGGCATGGCCAAAGAGCATGGGACTTGTCTCCAGTCCCAGCGAAGGCGTCTGCATATCGTCCAGACTATTGCCATTGTAGTTGCCGCACAAACCACTGACCTTCTGCCGCCACTCGTTGCCCAGCTTAACGTAGACCCGGGTTCCCTCGTCCCATTTAACTTGCAACTTCAGGGGAATCACTTCCACCACAACGAAGACACCGGCTTTGTAAATGTGGAAGGCATTGTGACCTTTCGAGTTGACACTGTCCCGAAGTTCTAAAACAAAAAAGAAGATATCACTAAAGGGTATATTTTAAAGTGATATTTACGAACTCTTGATGGGCGTCTTGTTGGGATCGATGCTGTAGGCAGAATCCGCACTCAAAAGGAGTGATTCTTCAGCATGACCAGTCAGAGCAATTTCCAGCGACTTGGAGCAAGTCACACCCATCGTGCCACACAGGACGTTCTGGATGGTTATGCTGAAGCCATCGCCATTATCGAAAACTCCCTTGGCCAGAACATAGTCACAGGCTCCCTGGAAGTCAAAGTCATGGCCATCGAAGGTGGTAAAGTGGGAATCTCCCCACACGCTGCACGTCGACTCGCAGCCATTCTTCGAGCATTTCCAGTTGCCAGCCTGGCACTCGCAGAGATTGCAGTCCTCCTTGATCTTCTCGCCGTCATCGTAGCTTTTACCGGCATGGTGGCAGGAACAATTGGCCGGCAGGACGCAGGACAAGCGGGAAGTATCGTAGACATAGCCCTCCATGCAAACGCAGCCGGGAAGACATTCGGAAGAGTCGGCCACGTACTTGTCCATGTTCTTGCAGGTTTTCGGCTCCTTCGGAGCACACTTGGTGAACTCGGCAAAGGGCTGTTTGGCACACTTTGAGCGCAGCTCCGACGACGGTGGATACTTATCCTTGTCACCTGGCTCGGCGTCCTGGCAGTCCCACACGCCGTCCGTACAGGTGCACAGATCCAGGAACTTCTCTCCCGGTCGCACCTCCTTGTAGCCCGGCCGGAAGGACATGCCGTCAAAGCTGCAATGGCACTTCTGTTTGGGCACACATTCACCCTCTTCGTTGACGTATTCTCCGTGGGGGCAGCGACATCCCTCGACGCACTCCCGCTTGCAGGTGCCCTTGCTGGGCAGATCGTCACAGGTCAAGGCACAGCCGTCGCCGCACTCGTCGAAGACCTGGCCCATGGGACATTTAACAGCTGGAAAAGGAGTACACCGGTTTAAATAACACCGGTGATAACATTATAAATTGTATGCTGATTTAAGGAATTTACGAGTAAACAATATCCTTTTTAATTTTTAAATTTCAACTAGATTTAAATTAAAAATCATATAGCTGAATAACATTGAAAATTAAGCATTTTGCTTTTGTTTCGGCTATTATTGGCTACAAATTTGCGCAAAAACAAAAGTCGAAGCAAATTATATTTGAAACAATTTCAGAACTCAAAAGTTAAAACTCACAGATTATTTTCTTTCACAGAAAAAATTCTTTGTCTTTAATGCCTGGACTAAACGTGACCTATAAAATGTTCTTTTCGTACTTACTGTTTAAGAAAAACTGGACAAATTTAATAAACACAAAATGACTTTAGGTCTAGGACGTTTTTAAAACTGTTATCGCTAAGTCCATTCCGTAAATAAATATCAAAATACTAAATTGAAACACATTTTTTTTTGTGAAGAAAAATTAAAAATCCCCTCTATATAGGTACCAAAATTTATTTAAACTTACCGCATTCCTTGACCGACATGCGCCAGCCCGTCTTGACGCCCTGTCGCATGCACTCAGTTCCATAGGCTGACAGAATGGGGCAGAAGCACTTGGACAGGTCGTCCTTGCAGGCACAGGTGTCGTACAGACAGTCCTCGTAGAACTGCTCCGGCTCGACCAGGAAGTGGCAGTCCTGGAAGATGTCCTGCAGAATCCAGTCGCAGAACTTCTCCGCCTGAGCTTTTTTCTCAGGATTCAGGGTGCAGGGATGAGGTCCCTGGTGGGTCTCGGCCTTGAACTCGCAAGTGTCCTTGGTGCGCCACTTGTCCGCAAAAGGCTCCACGGCCGTTTCCACATCGCCCTCGGGCGTCAGGAAGTCGTCCTGGGTGTTCGAGTTGAAGGTTCCGCACAGACCCTGAGTTTTTCCCCGCAAACTGGGCGGGGCGTCAATATAGACCCGCGAAACTCCGTCCCACCAGACGCGAATGCCATCCGCAAATTCCACGGTCAGGAAGGTGGAGCTAGCGCGTCGAATGAGCACCTCGCCGAGACCCAGCATCTTGGGCAACTTGACAATTGGCTTGCCGTTAACCGCGGTGGTAAGTCCCTGGTCCAGCTTGATCACCGATGGAGTACCGTCGCGCAGGACGAATCGGATGGTCACTGACTTTGTGCACGATGGGTCATCGGGAGCGGCGAAGTTCATTGCCTCCGAAAGGGCCCCCGAGCATGCCACATTCTCCGCCTCCACCGAGATGTTTTCTGTCTTCAGCAGATGGTACGAGCACTTGCCCATGAAATCGTAGCGCTTGCCATCGAACGTCTGATAATGCGGATCTCCAATGGCCCCACAGCGGGCGCCACATTTATCCTCAGTGCATCGCCACTGACCGTTCTTGCAGGTACACGTGTTGCAGTTCTTCTTGACGGTCGACTCTGGCTTGAACTCCTTGCCGCGAAGGGAACACGGGCACAGTTCGCGGGTGATGCAGGCCTCCTTGTATTGGACAGTTCCCTCCGGACAAAAGCAGCCCTCGTTGCAGGCGCCCCTAGAAGCTGGTACGGCCAAGTCCGAGTCGCAGGTGGGTTCCACATTGGGACCGCAGGCCTGATAGACGCGTCCAAAACCGCAGCTGATGGCTGAAAAAAGTAGAGGGGAACGTCATTAACCGGTAGAATTAATGAACTTAATTAAACTAGTAAGAGCCAATGGTACATTCTCAAACGGTCATTGTTTTTCAAAAACTCTGCGTTTTTGTTTTTAGATGCTTCTTAAAATACAACTTAGAATGTTTAGAGTAACCATGCAATATGCGAATTTGAGACTACTGATAAATACAAACATAAAAACAAAAGTTAGGACCACAGCATGGCTGAATATTTAAACAACAAAAAAACCATTTTTAATTGGCAGAGATATGATGCAAACACAAAAAAAAAATCGACGTGCGCTCAATGCAAGATAGGCAGGCATGCTTTGTGACTTTGTAAAAACAAATGTGACCCGCGTGCTTGGGCCAAGTACCCCTGCATCATATTTAACACCAGGAAAGTCCTTTGAGTTATTTTAAAACCCTGAATACGGATTATTTTCTTTCTTTAGTTTTCCATTATACTTACGACAAATCTCCAGATTCCGCCAGCCATGTTCCAGTTTGATGCCCTTGAAGGCGCACTCCTTGGCCAGCATGGCGATGGCATCGCAATTGCAGCTCTCCGGATGCTCCCGATTTGCACAATTGCAGTAGTCCGCCATGCAGGTGCGGATCAGAGCCTCGTAGTTGAAGGGCTTGATGCAGTCTCCGAGCTTCTCGTTGGCCAACAGACGCTCGCAGACGGAAACGGCTTTTTGGAGCTTGGATTGCTCACAGGAGTCCACGCCAAACTCCAGCTCGGCACTGTTCTCCACTTGGCACAGTTCACTGTGATCCTCTACGCGCCAGGCATCTGCGAAGGCCTTCACGGTCGCCAGCTTCTTGCCCGTTCTGGAGGACAAGTCCGTGTTGAAGTCACCGTCCAGGGATCCGCATAGACCACCCACTTTTCCCCACATCTGGGGACCAGCCTGCACGGAGACATACTGATGATGGTCCCAATCCAGCTTGAGTCCAACGGATTCTAGGTCTATCTGGACATGCTGGGCCACGGGCATGACCTTCATGCCCATAACCTGCACAGGCATGGGTAGTTTTTTAATGGGTGTGCTCAACTGCATGGTACCATCTGCAAAAAGGGTTTGGGTAGAAATCATTTTGAACCTTGAATTAATTTTGTAGACTCTTACTTAGATTTTCAAAAGTGTACAGAACCGATTGCCACAGAATCTTCAGCGTGTGTGCACAACCATAGCCGGAGCCATAAGGACAGGCCTTCAGGATAATGTCAAAGGTTCCCGAGACCTTGTCCGTAACCAGCGTGTGGGAGCATGATAGAGGTGCTCTGTGAGGAATATACGGTTTTAAAAATACAAATCATTTATTTTTATCACCATGCACTCACTTGAAGACCAGACCATCGAAAGTCTTCATGTTAATACCACCCCAAGTGGTACAAAGAGCCGGTCGCGGGGTCTTGTCAATAACAATTTCCAAATCGTTGCTCTGGTACAGGGAATAACTGCTAAGGGTGACAACTGTTTCCTCCGATGACCACCATTCCTAATAAAATCCATTTACAAAAATAAAGCATAAAAGTCAATCTAAATTTCATTTTAACGTACACTTCTTCTTTCAAGATCCCGGTACTTTGCCAGCAAGGCCAGAAGCTTTTCACGCTCGGTTTGAATTTCGTAGGACATTTCCCCACTCATTCCACGTTGATAGACTCCACTCGTCTGATGCGATGAATGCATTGATGAGGTGGAGCGAATGGTGTATCCAGGAGCTGCAGTATTATGGTTTTAGATATATATCTTTTAATTTTTTGTACACTCCAGGATCTTAGGAACTACAGCTAGCTATAGCTATTCCCACTGTTTACTTATTAAAAATAATATTTATATTGTTAAAACAATTTAATGAAAGCGCATCCCTTGCATAAAAGTTCAAAATGGCTAAAAATTATTTTAAATTAAATATGTAGAATTCAAAATTTTGTTTAATTTAATGCACTCTGGCAATTAGCTCACATTTTTTCAGATTCATCAGATTATGAGGTTGAGGTTTAACACTTACGAAATATGCACTTTGGTAGTGGTGCAGGGAGGTAATTTCCTTGCTGATAGCTACACTTGTACTCTATGTCAAGGCGACCTTGGATTTTCAAGCCCGGTACCTGAGGGCAAGTGAATGTGCAACGAGCCTCCTCCATTTCATAGGCGCACTTATAGTTTCCATTAAAGTTGGTATTCGTCACATTGCATCTTTCAATATCTATAAAAAATAATAGGCGAAATAAAATTAAAGTAAAATAGTAAAGAATTGTAAGCATTCAATGGAGCCCAGTTCTTTACTGGTTCCAAATATAACTATTTCTACTCGTCTATGACTATTACTCCTCTGTATACATACTATATTGACAATTGGCTCCCCGAAACATCTTGGAGCATTGACAGACATTGAAGCTAATGCATTGTCCTCCATTCTGGCAGGCGGGCGCACAAGTAGCTGAAAGATAAAGTTGGAATCACGAAAGTCCCAACATTTTAGTGGATCTACTTACGGGCGCAATCGGGGGGCTTGGATAGCCCCGATTTGGTGTGCACCCACTGGCCGTTGCGGCACTCAATGTTTGTAATACCACTGCCGTCTGGAAACTGGAAGCCTCTCATGCACTCGGCATGGCACAAACTGTAAGGAAAGTTCAGTTTTAGACCCCAAAGCATACCTAATCGTACCGGTACTCACTTATTTTTGCAAGACACTTTTGAGTTCTTTGGTGCGCTTGGAAAGGAAGCACATACTGACTTCTTTTGCTGGCACAACGGTCCGTAGTAATTCTCGGGGCACTGACAGACTCCGGCTGAGATGCAGATGCCATTGTTCTGGCAGCGGGGTTGACATTGCGCCTGGCAGGGTGGCACCTCCGTGAAAACGGAATTGCCTATGATCCATCCATCATTGCTGCAGAACATATCCAGAAACTGAATGTCCTGGGCGAAGCTATAGCCAGCTGGGCAAAAGACCTTGCAGCGCCCATTGTGGCACTCGGACTGAACATTCGATGGCAGCTGCAGAGCCGAACACTTTCCAAAGGCTGCCAGAAACTGGCCACCGCTTCCGTAAAAATTTCCCTGATTCCTGAATTATGATAAATTAAAGTTTGTTTATTACATATCTTTTAATGGTGCTACTTACCCCTTCCCAATGCCAAACATTCCCAAGGTTTTGGTTAGAAATCCACCTCTGCGATAAATTTGTATATCAGAGAGAGTTACGGGTTTTGAAAAATTCGACCATATTACCCAATGGCACTTCCAGCAGCATGAGAAGTTTTTATACCGCCGCCATATCCTCCACCGCCGCTATATCCTCCTCCAGCGCCATATCCTCCGCCGCCGCCACTGTATCCTCCACCGATTCCACCACCATAAGTGTATCTCGCACTATAACATAACATTATTAATCCGGTTATATAATCCCCGCTGAACTTGGCGAATTATCGCTCTTTCTTCCGACTTATCATTACCTAACTGCGGGGGCCTGGAGGATGTTGAAGCTTATGTGTCGTTCGTCGCGTTCATTCTCCTTATCGACGGCTTCCGGTGCGGCCTGGACCAGCGGGCTAAATTTGCAAATAATTTATGCATTCATTAGGACACAAAGCTTTATATTTAGGCAGATAAGTATATTAGGGTTTTTTATTGTTCTGTTTGATAATGTTTATTTTTAGCTTTAACTTTTTCTGATTTTACAAGTTCTATGCATAACCCTTTTGATGTTTTATTTGGTTATCTAATTTTCGTATTAATTACGAACCCAAGTGAAATTTACAGAACTACAATTAAATATCTAAGCAATATATAGAAAAATAACAGAATAGCCTTATTAGCCTTAGAATAGTAGTAGAAAGTAGGTTAAATTACACTAGTTTACAGCCAAAACGCTCCCCAGCAATTGATGGCAAATTGTCTTAGTGTTAAACCCCTGGATTTCGAAAAGAGGAGAAAAAACGAATTTTAAAAATCCACTATAAACCATATTTTGCATGAATAGGATTTGTTTTAGTCGTTAGGGTGTAAACTTAATGTTGGAACCCATTGTAATTTTCCAACGGATTTTATTCGGGTTTTTTCGATATGTACAGCCGTCTTACAGACGACCAAAACTCATCTTTTTCATCTTGTTGATCTGTTTGATCTATTGACTTTAAAATGAAACGAAAACTGGCTAAATTAAGTAAAAATGCCTCAAGGCCCGAATTTATAATTTTAACCTTTAAAAAATATTTTAATAAAACCTTTGCCATCGAAAAAAAAGTTAATGGCATTTTCTTGATCCAGCAATTTCGGGGGCGTTTCATGAATATTATTATAAGCTAGTGTTATGGAGATTATCAAGGCAAGGACCTTATTGAACTTCGTACGATACATATATATATTTTTTATATTCCCACTTATTTAAAAAAAATGTTAAAAAAGATAGTTTTTAGTTAAAGAGAGAGTAGTGTTGTTTTGATAGGGTAATTTTTTTTTTGTATTTAAGTCAAAGATTTATATAACTTAATTTTTGTGAAAATCAATTACATTAAATTTGTAACAAAATTTTATTTTATTTGAATAGGATTTTTTATTTGAAATCGAGTTATCCTTTGAAAACCACTTTTGTTTTTAATATTTTCACTTGTATGAATCTTAAATGCAAATTGTCAAAAGCATGCCTAGGCCTAAATAACAATTTAAAAAAAATCGTAGAGACATGTTTTAATTGTGACTGTTTTATAAAATATTTGTCAAATTTATTGAAGTGAAACGTTGGTTTGATTTACTTCTTTTATTTTTAATATTTTGTGTCCTTGTTTTCCTATCAAAACATTATTTTAAATTTGAAACTTATCTTGGAAATCCACTTTTAAACATTTTAATTCACTTTTACAAAGAATAATTTGTAATTATTGTAATTATAATTAATTTAATAAACATAAATTTCGACTTTTTGTTCCACTCACTTTATATCCTCGTCATCATCATCGCTCATTATAATGTCCCCATCCTCGGCCCACACAGAGCAGATGAGTAGTATCCACAAGGATACAAAAATCAATTTGTTTGCCATTCTGATTGGCTGAAGCGAACGTTTTATGTTCAATGTTGTCTACAGGATTATCCTGCTAATATTTAACACTGGTAATCCATTACTGCCGGTTTTTCACTTTTTCACACTGTTTGGTTAAGCACTTTTCACTGTATGTTTATCCACTGAACTTGACGACTTCGATGCACGATCGCGACTAATGGTGCCAGTGGATGGGGAGCGCCTTTTATAGCCTGGTGGCCAAGCTGTTTTATCAAGCTACTCTGAATTGTTAGGGTCAAGCCCACACTTATCCAGAATCCGCGAAAAAAAGCACCATCTTCAGCTTATCGTCGTTTCTGTGCTTAAATTAGCATCGCGAACTGCTCCAGAACTGTGCCAAGTTTAAGCTGATGCCAATGCCTAGTTGATAGTGCCACTTCCGGGACCTATGTCATAACTTTACGACGCGTCGTCCGCATGGGGGAAGACTTCGTTGACTCGGGGTAAGCCAATCTGTTGGAACGTCGCCACATAAATTATCTGGTCATCGAGCAATCCATGAATGAAATACGTATTACGTAAAAGTATACTATCATTGAACTTGAATGCTGGAATACAGTAGATTTAATTTTAGCCAAGGAGAGTCTTTTGTTTTAAACTTGTAACGGAATACCGGACCGTTAAATGTTATCGTTTCAAGCAGTTCGAGTCACAGTAAGCAGTGTACAATCTGGTGTTGTAGAGTGACACTAGGTGGCGCCACTTATCTATTTCTACAGGGTTGTTTGTAATGAAACTAACTTAATTAAGCTGTGTGTTTATCTTTAGACTATTTAAAAATTGTATACATTTTTTTATTAATTTTAATTAATTATTTTTTGGATTTTTTTTTAAATAATTAACTTTTTAGCACCAATTTTTTTGTATTTGTATTTGAATGAACCACATCATAAACCATGTTCAAATTATAATTAGGCAGCCGTAAATTTTACTTTTAATCAATTATTTTAAGTTATTTATTATTAAATACATTTTTTATTAGGTACCACATGAGTCTAAACACTAGGTAAAAGTAAATATTTATGAACCATATATTCTGAGACCTATAATTCTAGAGCCGTAACCGCGGTGCTTAAATAGTCACTACTTTTACACAGTTAAATTTTTCTGTCAACTAATTTACCTGATTAAATATTACTGAGCGAATGTTAAAATATAAAATTAAATTAAATTAAATTAAATTATTTCCAGGGCTATATCTCAGTACAAGTTTAGACCAAATAATTTCTCATTTGCGTTGGACCGGCGACAGAAATGGGTTTTCCTGTCCCCAAGTGATGTTGTCTGTACAGGTCCCTCGGCTTGATGTATAGATCTTTAAAATCCTCACTGCTCACATGCCGGCTAGCTGGTCCAAGGTATATCCCGTCGATACTGTGACTGGAATTTTCCCTTAGCTCAACCTCCGGTTCGTATATGTTTTCGATCAGAGTTTGTCGCGACTTTGTCGCCTTTTGAGGTCTGCCCTCCTGAGTTGGCCTTTTCTTGCTTCTTCTAGCCCGTTTGGAGGCCAGACCGGTGCAGCTCATGATAATAGCCAGCAGGACACAGAACTCAACCAGGGCCAAAACCAGGCTGGCGCCAAGGAAGACTCCATACTGCTCGCGGTACCAGTTGTCCAGATGCGGAAGGCAGGACTCCGTGTTGCGCTCCCTTTCGTAGGACAACCGCTCCAGCGACTGACACATCGATTCATTGGCCGGCTTTGGATCCAGAAATGCCATCGGCTGCCCCGCATTCCCCAGCACACAGCAACTGAGCGGCACCGGCCAATTCCTCTGTCCATAGCCCTGCAATCGCCACAAAGATGTGTCGTAGTCCAGCGAACTCCTCATCCCGCAGCAGCCGAATTGAGTCTGGGCCAAATCCATGGCGTTGGTGAATTGCTCCTGGCCCGGAACTCCATAGTTGCTCTGCAGCGATCGCACCATTTGACTCTCGTCCAGGCTAATTCCCAGGCAGTGGGGCCACAAGGTAATGGCCAGGCACAGAACCGATTCGGTCAGGAGCAGGACCACAACGCTCAGGAAGTATATGGTCAGGAAGCAGTAGGTGTGAAGGCAGCTGGCCCAGAAGCCCACGACAGCGGCCAAAATGGCCACGAATCCCGCAATTGCCACGCCCAGGGCTATGTAAAAGAGCAATGGTTGGGGCAATGAGCTCAACCGATCGCTGGAGGCAGCCAAAAGTCTGGAGAGCAGAATCCGCTTGTTATCCGAAAGGATGTACAGGCCTGATACAATCAGCAGTAGGCCACATATCTGAAAAGGATTACAGGTGGAGGAACTTATTGCAACTTTCACTTTACTAGTCGAGTAACCACTCACCAAGAATAAAAAATTACACAGATTGAGTACGAATTTATAGTTAAAACAGCAACCCATGTTTATATCAATGCAGGCGTGGTCTCTTAGAATAAATTAGAACCGAATTTGTTATGACGAAATGCAATAATTGCGATCAGTAACGGCAGTGCACTGCATGCTCAAATATGTGTGTGGGTGTATATAAGTACTCCAAAGTCGAAATTGAAAACACTTATTTAAACTCGCTGTTGCTCGATGCGGCACAGACAGTAAAATTTTAACTGAACTGTGGCGAGAGGCAGCATTCTGTGGCAAGTTCACAGCAGCGAAAGTAAGAGACCGCAGAGAATACATTTTTAACTCTCTACGAACCCCTTGATGGGTTACTCTCATCGAAACTTTTCAAGCGTCTCGGTTAGCTTAGCAAAACAAAACTGAAAATACTGTCCATCCACCAAAAATTTAAACCAGAAACTGAAGAGAGAAACGACTAGACGGGGCGCAATGTTCGTTACTCTTACTTGATCGCTGGCACTATCTGCAGCCATTTGGAACCGTTTTCAAACAATAGCTCCGACGAGCAGCAAAAAAACTCCACCAGTTGAACTTATTTAACCAGACCCCGGATTTTTTGCATAGTAGGTTTAAATATGAATTGAAATGCGTAAGAATTGATCAGTTGTATCACTTCACTACCGTACCCCACTTGTAATGGTAGTATTTTATCCGAATAGATAACTTTATTCGTAAACTGGTAAAAATAAAGTAGTTAATACATTTATTTCATATTCAACAAAAATATTTTTCGCCATGGATTTCTATTTATCGGTGTTTTTCTTAACTTTAAATATGAAAATAATAATTTTTTTATAAGTATAGTATTGTAGGTAACGATTCGTAAATAATATTTATAGTTAATTTAAAGATTTTAAACTTTACTTTTAAAATGACATTTTTTTTAAGGTAAAATTTATCTTTTCTATCTTGGTTCAAATATTTTCCCATTAAATCATTTTGTTTACATGCATTTAAATTTAAATATAAAAAACGAATTTTTAAAATTAACTATGTCATTTTTTTATCAATGAAAACATTTGAATTTACAAGACAAAGTAGGTTTTGTTAATCACTTCACCTCATTAGTCTAAAGTTTAGACTCTAAACCTTGAAATTTAAACATTTTTTTTAATATTCTGCAAATAATAGATATCATAAATCATCAGTACCTGATAGTAGCTTTTAAAGTGCATAAATTCTAAATTATGCTTAAGATTCCAAACCGAAGCAAAATGACTGTATCTGAGCAACAGCCTCGTATCATCAAGATAGAGCGACCAACACCAAGAAGAAGACTAAGTCCCTTGAAAACATCGATCATTCAGCCACATAACTTCGTGGCGAAAAGCAGCCCAAATGTATCTGAAGATCTCAAAAGTCGGTTGTTGGTTCTTCAGAAGCGAGTCACGGAGTGGAAATCTGCTGGCAATGTCAAAGATGAAATGTAAAGCTGTGGAATTTGAATAATAAACTTTTAGTAAATAACTAGGCTATTAAAGATTCCCTTTTTTTTAGTTTAATAATATTTTACCTAATTTTGAGCGAGGACACCACAACAAATAGCTTAAAAATTAAAAATCAGCTGCGACCGAAAATAAGGTGTGTTTCAAAATTATACGACACCATAAATTTCTTAAATATTTTTTTTATTAAAAGTCGTATTAAGGTGATTGTGTTTGTATTTAATCGTTATAACAAAACAAAGAATTTCATGTGAAAACAATATAAAATTTGCCTCTGTGGCATAACTATCTTAATCTTAAAAATCTTAATTTTAAGGTGTTTCATAATTATACGACACCATTAATTTTTTCCGGTTCCAATGATCAAACTTACCCGAAATTTTTTTTCTGGTTAAATCGAAATCCAGCTTTGGGCTGGATCTTTGATCCTTCTAATCTTCGGCCCATACATAAATATTGAATATTTCTCTCTATACCTTAAAAAAAGTTTTTTTCTGAGTCATATCCCCCAATTCGTCTTAACTTTTGTCTGGTCAATATTCTTAACACTTTTGAAAATCGAAATCGCCAAAAAATTAACGATATTTCGAAAAATTAGCGGTAAATCCTTGAAAAGAGGATCAAGGACGCGTTTTTTCGTACACATCATACATTGTTCTTTCGATCTGCATTTAAATGTTTCGCTTTCTATAAACAACAACAACGCTACAAATTTTCAAAAAATAAGTGTGTTGGTGTCGTATAATTTTGAAACACACCTTAGGTAATGAAATGCTTTTTATACCCGTTACTCGTAGAGTAAAAGCTTATATTGTATTCGTGCAAAAGTATGTAACAGCTAGAAGGAAGCGTTTCTGACCCCATAAAGAATATATATTCTTGATCAGGGTCACTAGACCAGTCGATCTAGCCATGTCCGTCTATTCTTCTTTGATATATCAAATAAAAACACCTCTTAGCGAGGTAAAAAACTACAAAACTTCTGATATCAACTTTTGTGACGAAAAATGATTTTAGATGCGACTAAATAAGTACGCTACCTATATGTACCACATGCAATAGAAAGAAGACTTTTGGGAAAGTTTCATCGCGATAGCTTAAAAACTGAGGGACTAGTTCGCATAGAAACGGAAAGACGGACATGGCTAGATGGACTCGGCTATTGATGCTTATCAAGAATAGTTTTAGGGTAGTGTAGGGTAATTTGACGAGTAGGGTAATGTGACGAACTCGTCGAATCTCATATATGACGTCACGACAAAAATTCCAAATAAATGTAGTCGTCTCCCCTTATCGTGTCGACAATGTATTTACAGTAATATTAATAAGAAGTCCCGTAATTTGTTCGTGAGGTAACTTTCGCTAAAAATGTGGTGTGCAAACTAGCAAACCTATTCAATTTACTTGTGTTTCAGCAGTGCCAGAGCAAAGATGAGTGGAAAATAAAATCAGGCAAATATATGCACGTATACAGGAGATCTTTATGAACAGTTTTTGGTACCTCGCGTTTTTTTCTTTTGCGCCGTTTGAGAGTGACACCGTTTTTGCTCCAAGTCTACCTTGTAGGGTATCGTGACGAACTTTTTGTAGGGTATTGTGACGAACTTTTTTTATTCAAGAATTTTAATTGTTATCGTTGATTATTTGTAAAAAAAATATAATAATACCAGATAACATTTACTGCTGCAGTTTTATTGTTGTTTTTAATAGTAAGGTCAGTTTAATTTAATTAAACAAAAAAAAAAAATTTTAATTTAAAAAATTGCACTTTGACCATTTTTTTTTGTAAGTTTCGGTATTATCTTATTACTTCTTTCTTTTCCGTATCGAAAATAACTTTTCCGTAAATTATATATAAAAAAATTTTTTTTTGGTTTGTGAAAAGGATGATTTACACCAAACGCTGTGGGATTTGGCAACGTTGAAATTTCGAATACAAATTTTTCAGAAATATGCTCAGTAAATGTAAGTAACTTTCTGCTTTTACACTTTTAAAAAATATTGATTTTTGGAGAAGTTACATTAAAGAACAAATCGTTCGTCACATTACCCAACAACTTTTAAAAGTGCCAATAAAGAAGGGTTCACGACAAGCGCTGTGGGATTTGGCTGCATTGTAATTTCGAATCCGAATTTTACAGGGATATGCTCAGTAGATGTAAGCAACTTTTTGCGTTTACACTTTAGAAAAATATTGATTTTTAGAAAAGTTACATTCAAAAAACGAATCGTTCGTCACTCCCCTACTTTATGGGGTCGGAAACGCTTCCTTCTAGCTGTTACATACTTTTGCATTATTTTTTTTAATTTTTTAAAAGTGGTCCAAAAAAATTGGTTTTGTGTTACACCCTAGATCCCCCTTTAATTCTTTCTTTAAAAAAAGTTTAGATCTTCAACTACAAATTCTGAAAAAACTAGCTTGCCCTTTTGTACCTCTTCTGAGATAACCGCGGTTAAAGTTTACCAAAAAAAAAAAGTTGACTAAAATCGCCCTTGGTTTTAGAAAATCGCCTATGAATTTGCTTTACTGGCGATTTTGTCTATATTAAAGAAAGTAGGTTTTTAAAATCAAAGACGTTTTTTAAAAAATTATTTCTTCAAATTAAGAAACAAAGGTTTTCTAAAAAATAGAAATACGGTTTTTTTTAAATATGGACAAATATTTTTTAAATAACAAAAAAAAAATTTCTCAAATTCAGAAAATACAAAAATCTATTTTCGGGCTTGCGAATTATACCCGGTTGTTTCTGTGACGCCACGGCCTTTGTGTTGCTTTTTTTTTCGTTCTTGTTTGTCACTTATTTGAATTTCCTTTAATTGAGCACGTGGGTGGTTTCAAATTGGAACTGTAATAATAACTGAAATGAGTGTACAAATTACAAATTATAAAAATAAAAACCCAATAACTTACTATTTGGAGAAAAACACATCTTTCTTGGTCGCCGCACGCGGGAATCGAACCGCTAACCGCTCGCCTCACAGTTTGCAGTCAAGCACTCTACTAGCTGCGCCACGGAAGCATCACGTGAGGCGCTGTACAAAGTCTATTCACATTTTGTTCTCCTATTTTTACTCAAATTGATCTGGCTCTCTTCTGGTTATTCCTTTTAGTTGTTCATTTAATTTTGCTTTTAAATATTTATTGATTAATATTAATATTTATATATTTAATATGGTTCAATAGTAACAGTAATTGAATGTTTCAAATTTGAAAAACTTAAACATCATTTTTATCAAAATATAATTATTCATGAGCTAAAAAAAATTCAATATATTTTTTTTATTAATATGTAAATATTAGTGTTAAAAAAAAAAACAAAAAGACACCATGAGTTTTTCGTCTCGACGTGGGATTGAACTCACACTTGCAGCCGCAAGCTTGAATAACATACATATGCATGCACGCACGCGTTAGACCCCTAGGCTACCAATCCCGCAAATTTTCTTCGATTAACAGCGATTTTTTCTAAAATTTTCTAAATTTTCTAAATTTTTAAAAAAAAACTCGTTCAATAGAGAATTTTTTTGAAGATTATAAAATTTTTCTGAAGATTAGAAAATTTTTCCTCTTTATAGAATATTTTTTTAAAGCACAGAAAATTTTTTTTCTATATTTAAGCCTAGTACTCACTTCAATCAAAAAGGCAACGAAACGAAATATTCTATATAAAAACAAGAGAGAACGCTATAGTCGGGTTGTTGTCCCGACTATCTAATACCCGTCACTCAGCTAAAGGGAGTGCGAACGCTGTGTCGGGTTGGTGTCCCGACTAATAATCGTAACTCAGCTAAAGGGAGTGCGAGGGAGATAGATATATAATTTTTGATTGCATATAACTTTTTAATGAATGGTCCGATTTGAAAAATGTCTTCTACATTTCGATAGGTATAAATATACACAACAAGATGTGGGCGCAGGACCCATTTTAAAATCGTTAGTGGGCGATTGTGGGCGTTAGAGGGGGCGTGGCGCTCGGCTAAAATAAACTTGCGCTGCGTAGGAAGCCAATGAATATGTGTGGGAAATCTCAACCTTCTAGCTTTTGTAGTTTCTGAGATCTCAGCGTTCATACAGACGGACAGACGGACAGACGGACAGACGGACAGACAGACAGACAGACAGACGGACAGACGGACAGACGGACATGGCTAGATCGACTCGGCTAGTGACCCTGATCAAGAATATATATACTTTATGGGGTCGGAAACGCTTCCTTCTAGCTGTTACATACTTTTGCACGAATCTAGTATACCCTTTTACTCTACGAGTAACGGGTATAATGACAGGCGAAAAATTTCGTGATCAAAATTTCGTATGGAGATTTTCATTTCGTAGGCTTTTTGATTGAAGTGAGTACTAGGCCTTAAGAAAAAATAATTTCATGAGTGTTAGCAAAAAATGTTCGTAGTTCGAATAGTCGCCAGCCTGTCAGCTGTTTCCAATTACTTTTGTTTTTCTTTCGCGGCAAGCTGTCCAATTATTTTGTCAAATTTAAATCCAATTATAATGGAAAATAAAGCCGGAGGTATTTATATTGTGTTCCTGGCGTCAAATATATTCTTATTAATGTGCTGCATTAGTGTATTAGAGCTATTCTGATGTCTTAGAAGTGTGAAAAATAGTGATTTAACTTGTTGGTAAGATTTAATGTAATACATGTTAAATAAGTTGATATCTTTTTAAAACAGAACTATCAACTGCTTCTCTCACTCGCCGAGAGCTTTTTAACATCATGCAGAGATCCACGTACGATTTGTTTGAGGAAAAGTTTTAGCACTTGGAAACGTCTTTATGCGACCAAACTAAGGCAACAGGGCTGAGCTTGAAAAGTCTAAATGAAAAACTGACAAGGTTTATATCACAATTTAAGACTCGCTGGACTCGAGCACATAGAGTGGAAGAACGTTTTCTCAAGGCAAATCAGGGTTGGCTAGATACAACCATTCATTTCTTTTTGTGAGCTTAGACGAGGACGCAACGAGAAATCGTTTGAAGAATCCATCAACAGAACCAAGCTTAG